CAAATCACTCTTGAAGGATTAATCACACCCCCAAGATCACTCACAAATAGAACAAGAAGAGGATTACAAGTAAAGATCTCTCAAAGATCAAAAACTCAAGTTAAAGCACATGTAGGTAGGTAAAGATATTCAATGCAAGGCTCTAAAACTTGCTCTAGATCTTCTACCAACCATATTTATAACCCCATGGTCGAAAATAGCCGTTACTAGCGTTGGGGGTCATTTAAGGCTCTACAGGTCGCTTAATTCGAGTTGCAGAATTGTCAATACAGTAGGATTACACTTCTAAAGCCGGCTCAACTTTCTGCAACCGGCTCTGCGGGTTTCTTACATTCTGTTTTCTCCGTAGAGCCAGCTTAAAAATTCTGCAGTCGGCTTTGCGGGTTTCCTGCACATTCTGTTTTCTTCCACAGTCGGCTGCAAAGCTTAGAGCCGGCTTTGGGATTCCAACTTTAAACACATTAAATAATCTTCAAATAACTCGACTATTGTGCATTAAATGCACCCTCACAGTCGGCTGCAAAGTTGGAGCCAGCTTTGTGTCTTTTCTCTACGCACGCCAAACAACTTGCTTTTAACTTTTTACCTGTAAAGCCAGCTGCAGCTTCCAGAGCTGGCTCTCTGCACTTCCACAGCCAACTGCAAGGTTCAACAGCCGGCTCTCTGCATATTTTCAAGCCTTTTGGTCCATTTTTAGTGTAGTCCAAGTTTACTTACTTTGTAATCTTTTGACATTTTAACTACACACTTAAATGAACTAATTAGTCACTCAAATGTGTTTTGTAATCATCAAAATCATAGATACAACACCAATGATCCTCTTTTTCCACACAGTTGACCTCTGTTAGGATGGTTGGAAGGACATTGGTTTAAGATTGAGTTTTGCACCCTTCAGATGATTTGCAAGAGGGAGGGATGCCTTTTTGCATAATTGGTTGTTAATCTGCCTTGGACAATCTTAAGGACTTTACCACTACTGTGAATTTAAGTTAATAAATCCAAAATGAACTGAATGAGCTGCAAATTTAAATAAACTTGACTTTTATTGCGCGAAAGAAGCAATTACATAAACTAATTTGATTACTTGAATGCTGAAAACAACTTAAATCTATTGGGATCTGTGCTAAAACTGAAATATAAAAGGTAAGGTAAGCAATCATTACAAAACTAGAGAATGGAAAATTTGATGAGTTTTGTGTAGGGTTGGTCGTGTGTGTTGAAAAATCAGAAAGCTTTTATTTGTATCCTTCTTGCAAACTGTTTCTTGGTCGATCAAATCACGGATAACTCATCAACTGAACTTCCTTCCAAATTCTAGGGATTTCTATTTCTTTTAAATTTAAGTTGCAACAAATTGGATAACTTTTATCCTCCTAGCCAATTTTATAGATATGCATCCCTTCAGTATATTTGATCTCACCTTATCCATTAACATATGACATTACTAAAAATGTAATTTATGGTGTAAACAATGCCCCCTACACTTGATTTTATGAAAATAAATTCAAGTGTTTAGAATTAAATAAATTCAAGTGTTTAGAATTAAATAAATTGCATGCAAACTCCAACTGCCAATGCCAAATGTTAAACAACTCTAAGGTCTGAAAAAAGAAATTTCAAACCTTTAGGCCAAGCTTGCAGAAAACTAAATGAATAGATTCCCCTTATGAAACAGATAGAAAAGAGCTTGGCCAAACAACATAAAAACCTTCTCACAAATATGGAGGTAGACTTGAACATGGTTTCCAAAATCAAATATCAAATTTCTTCTCTCACAGCCTTTGTTGCATACTTGATCCAAAGTAGGTTAAAGTTTGACACAGCCATAATTTAGTCGATATGATTGCTCATGGCCAAATCTATCCAGCTTACAAATTTAGATCAGCACTTTTATTGAACTCAAAAAATGCTAAATTGGAAAAAGAAAGTACTGTAAAATTTCACTGAAATCTGACTCAACCAGAATTCGAAATATCTAGATTTACCTACTCTAACGGATCTTGTACTTTACCTTTTAGGTCGTCAAGTTTTGCTGGAGCCAAATCTAACTCCTCCAAAGTAACCTCTTCTATCAGATCTTCCTATTCACCTTCGTGGACCACCTAAGATCTGTTTACACTAATCCGCTTTTCTACAAGATAGGCCGCTAATTCCTTTTAATTTCTTCCATGGCCTCCTTCTTTTGGCGATTGATTCGCTGTCTCTTCATGGAATTTCTTCACTTTATGGCTCTTCCTTTGGCCTAAAAGGAATGATTGTTGTAGGTCGAAGGAGTTCATCGCAAACCTCCTTCACTATGTGTCTAGTAAGTGTTGAT